CTCCTCTCTCCCTCTCTCTCTCCCTCTCTCCATCCCTCCCTCCATCCCTCCGCTCTCACTGTCCCCCGGGCGGGGCGGGGCGGGGCGGGCACGGCACGGCACGGCACGGCATGGCACGGCATCAGCTGAGGGAGTACATCGACGACACGGAGGACTACATCAACATCCAGGTGCCGCTGCCTCAACTGCTTCACAACATTGTTTCTCGTTCAGTAATCGTGTGCATGCATTGCAAGTATACGAAGGGTCGCTATTCACTTCTACAGTTACGGCTGTGCATTTCACCTGCATACTTTCTGTCTTCATTGCTTCCTCTCCTGCATACCCCACTCCTCTCCCCCCTCCCCATCTCCTGCTTCTCGATCTCGCTTGACGTGCGTGTGCATGCCGCGCAGATCGACAATCACCGCAATCAGCTCATCCAGGTGAGCAATCAGCTCATCCAGGTGAGCAATCAGCTCATCCAGGTGAGCAATCAGCTCATCCAGGTGAGCAATCAGCTCATCCAGGTGAGCAATCAGCTCATCCAGGTGAGCAATCAGCTCATCCAGTTGAGCAATCAGCTCATCCGGTTGAGCAATCAGCTCATCCAGGTTGCTGCCCAGTGTCGGCCTTTGACTGCCAGTGTCGGCCTTTGACTGCCAGTGTCGGCCTTTGACTGCCAGTGTCGGCCGTTGACTGCCAGTGTCGGCCTTTGACTGCCAGTGTCGGCCTTTGACTGCCAGTGTCGGCCTTTGACTGCCAGTGTCGGCCTTTGACTGCCAGTGTCGGCCGTTGACTGCCAGGGCTGGACGTCACAGATCCCAACCGCTGCCGTGTTCCGCACTCGGATGGCCACATGCTGTGCTCTCCTTGTGAACCATCAAGCACATGCTGTGCTCGCCATTCAGTTCGGAACTCAACCTTCTTGCGGCAGTCGCCCAACTGTGGTGCACACAACGTATCTCCAGCTGAAACTGCAAGGTGGTAGTGAAATGTGGTGGGCGGAGGCGGAGAAATTGTCCCTCTCCCTCTCTCCCATTCTCTCCCTCTTGTGCTCCTGAGCTCTTGCTCTGCACTGATCTCTCAATTGTCATGGCTGTATTGCAGCAAGCCAAGAGGCACTGATGTGCTCCTCTTTGTGCACCCCCACATCACGGGTGGCAGCTGGAGCTGGTGCTGAATGCGGGCATCATGGTCACGTCCATCTCAGCCACCGTCGTCGGCATATTCGGAATGAACATCCCCTACGCCTGGAACACAGACCCCTCTGCCTTTGTCTGGGTCCGTCTCAATCCTTCATGCCTTTGCTTTTTTATTTCTTTCTTTTTTAGGGGTCTTGCATTGCATTGCAACCTTTTCACTTAGGATTGTAAAAATCATAATCGTCTGTTCACAAGCACATCATTGCCATGTGAGTTGCTTCTGTGCAGGTGGTTGTGCTCGGAACATTGGTGCCCACTCTGCTCTTTGTTGCCCTTGTTTGGTATGCAAGGCACCGCAAGATCCTGGCCTGATCTCGGAGTTGTGACGGTGGGCTGTTTTCATTCATAAGGGCCTCACATACTGTACTACTTAGGGTTAGGGCACACCAATAGATCAGTGTGCCTTGCCTGAGATTCAGTCCAGTCCCCCTTTATATTTCAGTGGTATTTTGCAATACTGACAAGTCAGCTCAAAAAAAGTATGCACATTGTGAGCTTATTGTATTGTACGTTCACAGCATACCAAAGTTGTGTTACAAAGTTCTTCATTCAAGCAAACTGTTATGAGTTGTCAAACAGAGTTGCGTGGAATAATGAATAACGAGGCTGTGACTCAATGAAATTGACGATACAATGAAAGACATGCGATTATATAGCGAGGCAACCTAACTAGGCGGGAACCTCGGGAACACGAGGTTGAGTGCAGGTTGGGCAAAGGAAAGCCGAAGGCGACGCGAGGTTGCTTCGGCAGCAAGCAAAGCGGCCGAACGTGCACTTCCGAAAGTTGGGGTTGTACGCGGTTGAGTAAACCCCAGTAAGGAAAAGGGTTTTTCCTTACACTACCCCCCCCCTTAAGAAAGGTGGTCAACATCCACAGCTCGCTTGCGGGCGAGGTAATCACCAAGAAGCGGGGAAGCTTCAAGCGAGGCGGATGGCACCCATGTGTCGTCCTCACTGGTGCGGTCAGTCCAACGGATAAGAAAGTCCACGTGGCGTCCCGAAGCGTCGAGCCGAACACGATGCGCCAAAATCTTGGACGGGTCGAGTGTCGGTTCCGGGACAGGTCGAGCTGTCGGGACGGCGTTCTGGCGTGCGATGGCTGTTGTGGCAGGCACGAACTTGCGTAATAAGCTGACGTGGAAGGCGTCGTGAATACGCCAGTCGTCGGGTAGTAGCAGCTTCGCGGTGACAGGTGTCACCATCTTGAGGATCCTGAAAGGCCCACAGAATCGTGGCCGTAACTTCGATGGGCCGGGCAGGTGCAGGTTCTTCGTGTCCAGTAGTACTAGTTGCCCAGCTGCCAAGACGAGTTCCCGTCGTAAAAGGTCGGTGTATTTGCGGGAAGTGGTATTCGCCTTGCGAATTGCGTCCGCAGCCTTCTCGCGAATTTCTTGGAGTTCTGTCACAAATGTTTGTGACCTCGGGACCGGGTTGTCAAGTGTAGTCGTTGTAGGTACCACCGGGTCCATCCCGTAATTCAAGAAGAACGGGGAGTGATTAGTCGTGCTGGACGGAGCGTTGTTGAACGCGAATTCCAGCATGGCGAGCGAATGTTCCCAGCGAGCGGGGTCGGGGCAGTTTGTCCTGATCAGCTGCTCCATCGTCTGATTGGTCCGCTCGGTCTGGCCGTCGGTTTGCGGGTGGTATGCCGACGAGAACTGTAGCTTCGTTCCGTACTGCGCCCACGTCTCCTTCCAAAATTTCGATGTGAACTTTGGGTCCCGGTCGCTGATGATCGCCGATGGGATGCCGTGTAGTCGCACAACGGTGGAGATGAAGAGGCGTGCAGTTTCTTCGGCGGTGATTGTCGTGCGACAAGGTGCGAAATGCGCCATTTTTGTGAGGCGATCGACGACGACGAGTACAGCGTCGTTGCCGGACGGCCCAGCTGGCAGCCCCGTGACGAAGTCCATCGTCACCTGTTGCCATGGTCGTTCGGGTGGCTCGAGAGGTTGCAGCAACCCAGCTGGCCGCTGACGTGTCGATTTCATGGCTTGGCACACCCTGCATGAGGACACATATCGCTGCACGTCGTTAGCAGAATCAGGCCAATAATACTGACGGTGCAACAACTTCTGGGTTTTATCAACCCCGAAATGTCCGGAGAGGTTGGAATCATGGACCTCCTGAATAAGGAGTTCGCGCAGCAGCCGGTAAGCGGGAACCCAAATCCGGTCAGTTCCGGCCTTTAGGTAATAATTCCCTTTCTGCGTCGTCGCCTGCTGGTGATTTCCAGTCGTGAAGAACGGGTCCGTAGTGTAGCCGTGGGTGAATAGTCCCGAAAGAAGCGGGTTCGAATGGGTGATCAGCACAGCAGCGGATTGGACTGTCGGTCGGGTCAGGGCGTCGGCAATATTGTTCGCGCCCTTCTTGTAGGTGATCCTGTAGTGGAAGTGTGACTCCATGTAATCGAGCCATGTCGTGGGTTGAGGTTGGGTTGCGCTCGAAGGTACTGTAGGGATTTATGATCGGTGCGAACAGTGACGTCGGCGCCAGTCAGGTAGCATCTCCACAGTTTAAACGCGTGAATGATGGCGAGCATCTCCTTGTCGTGAATCGGGTAGTTGCGCTCGGCTGCCTGCAACTTGCGTGACTCGTAGGCGATCGGTTGTAAGCCGTTGCCAAAATCCTGGAGCAGCACTGCACCGATGGCGAAATCTGAGGCGTCGGTGACGACTTCGAACGGCTTGGATGGGTCGGCGATGCGAAGAACCGGAGGGGACACCAGTAACTGCTTCAACTCCTGAAAAGCCGCCTCAGCCTCTTCCCCCCACACGAAATTTTTATCCTTGTGCAGCAGGTCGGTCAGCGGGCCGGTTATTCCGGCCATATTCGGGATAAACCGCCGGACATAATTCACAAACCCCAGAAAACTCTGAAGTTCTGTGACATTAGTCGGGGCCTTCCATTCCTGGATGGTCTTGATTTTCTTCGGGTCGATTTTGATGCCGTCGCGTGAGATGACGTGCCCCAAAAACTCCAACTCTTGCTTAAAGAACTCGCACTTAGAGCCTTTGGTGATGAGCCGGTTCTCCTGTAGCCGCTTAAACACTGCGTCGAGGTCGCGGAGGTGCTGCTCGCGTGTCCTGCTAAAAATCAGAATATCGTCCAAGTAGACGATAACACACTTGTCCAGCAGGTCGCGAAATACCCTGTTCATGGTGCGTTGAAATGTTGATGGCGCGTTCGTGAGGCCGAAAGGCATCACTGTGAACTCGTAACTGCCGTAGCGGGTTCGGAAGGCGGTCTTGTGACAATCGTCAGCGAATACTCTGATTTGGTGGTAACCGCCGCGTAGGTCAATCTTTGAGAAGTAGCGAGCGCCGCGAAGTTGGTCGAGGAGGTCGTCGGTGCGTGGGATGGGATAGCGAGACTTGATGGTAACCCGGTTGAGCGCGCGATAGTCGATGCACATGCGAATGCCGCCGTCCTTCTTCGGTGTGAACAGGATCGGTGCGGCGAAGGGCGAAGTACTGGGTCGGATGAAGCCCTTCTCCAACAGTGACTCAAGTTGACTTCGAAGCTCCGCGAGTTCGGGCTGAGTCAACCGCCACTGTGTACGAACAGTCGGATGCGCGCCAGGTTCCAGCTGGATTTTGTGGTCTTCGGGTCTCTCGGGTGGCAGGCCAGGTGGCAAATCGTCGGGGAAGATGTCGGGGTACTGTCGAATCAGCTCCGCTAAATCAGGTGGTACAGCTGCGCACAGCTTCTCGATGTCGTTTCCGTCAGTGTCGGCTGCCAACTCGCGCAAGCATACGGCGAACAGTTGCGCACCCCTGTTGACGTGGCGTGTAATCGTGATGGCTTTGACGCATGTAGACTCGATGCAGTCCGGAGTCCACGCGGGCAGAGTAATCAGCTTCCCGTCCTTGCTGATGCTGCACGATCCCGTCGTCCAATCGATTACCGGGTTGTGCCGTCGCAGCCAATCGCGTCCCAGGAGCACGTCGCATCCGTCCAACGTCGTCGCGAGAAACTTCATGCTGAAGCCGAAATCGTCGCCGCACTCAATCCGCACCGTCCGTGTTTCTTCCAAAATCGCCAGAGGCGTCCCATCCACGAGGCGGGCGTCAATTTCGGGCAGACACCTGTCCAGCTGCAACTTGCATTTTTTTGCTGTCGCCAGATTGAAGAGGCTATGGCTAGCCCCGCCATCGACGAACATTTTTATTTTTTTCTTAACAACCGTGCCAACAACCAGCACAGGGTGATCCACATGTTCACCCCCGTTATTCGTCCGAGTGCGATCGATTGCATGAATCGGAACCACGACTCGGTGGGGATGGTGGGGTTCGGGCGACAGAGCGCAGTCAGTAAGGGGCCCGTCTGTTACTGACTCTTCCCATTTCCCGGCTCCTTCCCGTCGTTCTTCTTTCCCTGCGTCCTGTCGGGGCAGTCTTTATACATGTGGCCCGGCTTCCCGCACTTAAAACACAACCCTGTAAAAGGGCGGTCTGGCGCATGGACTCCGTTAATCGTGGCCCGCTGGGTCTGTCCACGAAATCGGTTTCCCTCCCGAGAACTCGATCTCGCCCACTGCATCAGCGCGTCTGTGCTCTCGGCCAATCGGACGGCTTCGTTGAATGTTGCTGGACGGCTGCGGCGCACCTCGTACTGTATCTCATACTTCAAGCCGCTGATGTATTTATCCAACCGTTCAGCTTCCGCCATGTCGTCCACTTGATCCGCGAGCGCCATAAACGACGCTGTGTAGTCTTGAACAGAAGCCAACTGTGACCAGGTACGCAGCTTCATGCGAGCGTGTTCCGAGGCGGATACATGCTCGAAACGCTCTCGTAAGGCTGCGCCCCACTGCTTCCACGTGCGAATTGTGGCCACACCGAATATCGATGATGCCCTCCCAATAGCAGAGTCCGAAGTCCCGTCTGCCGCATGTGTCACACCTGTCGGGGTCCCCGTGTCCAAGGTTCGTCGCCACCACTCAAGTGTTGATTGTGTAGGTGGTTGTGGTATTTTGCTCTAGCTGGTTGTGGGCTAAGGGTTTGGGCAAAATGTGGTGGTTGAACTTGTTGCGGGCTGGATTTGAACTCGCACCTAACAAGCACCAACAAACCTTTGTTACCAACTACAACACCTTTGGTGTTGCTAGTTTGGCACTTTAAGGTGTTGGGGATTGTTGTAGGGCGAGGGTTGGGTTGGTAGGGTTTCACCAACTCGTCACTTTTCAGATCTGAACTCTTGCTAAAGCTACTTTCTAGATCTAATCCATGGCTGCCAAGTAATTCCGCCAGGATACCCCGTCGCACATAAATCGCGATAGCGATCGGCCTAGATCTTGGTTGAAGGCGTGCTTTACCATTCTGGAAAGTAGAGATTAAGACCTTTCTAACGCGTACCTGCTCATCGTTCTAGGTTACGTGAGCTGCACGCAATGTTTCGCCGAAGTCGGCGGACATAATCTCTTGTTACGCTCTCCAGATTGGCACGCTTTCCATCAGTGGTATCAGAGCTGGTTAGGCCAGCGACATTCCCTCGTATTATCGTATTTCGAATTGGCTTAAGAATCTCCAGATCTAGGGTTGGTCATGGCCCAGAAATTAGATGGCCCTCCTAGGTTCACCGGCTCGGATTTTTCGCTATGGCGGTTCCAGTTTACGCTTTGGCTAGGTATTAAGGACCTAGAGGGCGTTTTGGAGGGATCGGAGCGAAGACCTGAAGCTGATGAAGGGAAGGCATCTACTGGAGTCTCTAGCCAAGTGGGAGAAGGGGCTGGGGGAGCCTCTAGCTCATCCATAACTGAGGGAAGTGGAGGTGGATCAGCAGCACCGCGAACCGGAAGGCAACGGCTTAGTGCGGAGGAGCTTATCAAGGCACAGGAAGCATGGGACCGCAAGGACAAGCAAGCGTTCCAGTACCTGTGTTGGGCCTTGGAAGGCCAACTAGAGCTCCTAAAGATGCTGATTGACCTGAAGGGGAAGCAAGGTGCAGCTGCCCAAGCATGGAAGAGAGTTCAAGATCGGCACTTGCAAAAAGGGCTGCTAAGCATACTCACCTGGAGGAAGCGGTTTTACACCATGGAACGCAACTATGGTGATGGGGAGACCATGGTGCAGTATCTCCAGAGGGTGGATGAGTATGTGAGAGCCTTGGAGGAGTTAAACTACACTGTAGATGAGAAGGAGATCATCTACACCGCACTCCAGGGGCTGGACCAAGAGGCGAACGAAGCCCTACTGCAGTACCTTCACCTTGAGCAACAGAAATGGACCAAGGCCTGGATATGGGAGGTGTTGGTCTCTGATGAGGCTCGCAAAAGGGATGCTGGTAGAGGAGTTGAAGGGGGAATGGGGGCAGGTGATAGGGCTGCCTCCAAGAAATACCAGCAGCGGCAAGGAGGTGGGGGGAAGAAGAAGGAACTCGACAAGTGCCTTGTCCCTGGATGCAACCGGAAGCACTCTTGGAAGGAGTGTTGGAGCCGACCAGATGGGTGGAAGCCTCAAGGGTACCCAGGAGAGGCTCCACCTGTCACTAGGCCTGAGTGGGTGGAGAGGAGGATGAAGAATGGAGCATGGAACAAGAAGGGCAGCAAAGAGAAAGCGGCAGCAGCGGCGACAAACGAGGATAAGAAGGGAAAGGAGGACTCATCGGATGATGGCTTCGCCTTCTTATCCTTGGAGATAGAGACGGCGCTTGCTGGTCGTACGTTGGCTGACCCCAATCAGCTCATTCTAGACTCCGGAGCAACCTGTGGAATGGTGCCTCGGCGCGACCTCTTCACCATCTATCACTCCCTCCCACCTAACTCCAGAAATGTGATTGTGGGGAGCGGAGATAAGCTAAAACAATCGGCATCGGCACCATCACCGTCAAAGGGAAGGAGGGGGAGGTGCTGAATGTGAAGGGTGTGCTTCATGTTCCTGAATTGGCAGCCAACCTTCTCTCATGCTCTCAGCTTGCGAAGCAAGAATACATATGCACCTTCACCATGGAAGGTGGCACGGTTTGCAAGGGTGGAGCTGTGGTGATGGAGGCCAAGTTAGAGAAGGGTCTATACCTTGTTCCAGTTTGTGTGCCTCAGGTGGAAAGGGCACATGGGGTTGAAGCCGAGGATGCCGCTTGCAGCACCCGTTGGAAGGATGTGGAGCAAGTGACGGCAGATTTGCTGCACCTACGCATGGGGCATGCAGGAAGGCAGCAACTTGTGGAGTGTGTGAAGAAGGGGGAGCTGAAGGGTGTGGAGATCAAGGAGGGTGGTGGGCAGCCAAGCAAGTGCCCTGATTGCACGACCGGGAAGCTGCCAAGGACCTCTTTCCCTACCTCCACCACTAGAGCCTCCGCACCTCTTGAGTTGGTGCACACGGATGTGTGTGGCCCCATGCAAACACCGGATAGGGAGAAGGGCAGCAAATACTTCATCACATTCCTGGATGACTACAGCCGCCTCAGTTGGGTCACCTTGGTGAAAACCAAGGATGAGGTGGCCAAGGTGTTCAAGCGTTGGATACGCTATGCGGAGAGGGAAGCCGGGGCCAAGGTGAAAATACTACGGTCTGATCGGGGTGGGGAGTACATGGGGAAGGATCTGGAGTCTTTCCTTGAGGATAAGGGCATCACCCACCAACTTTCAGTTGCCTACTCGCCGCAGCAAAATGGAGCAGCGGAGCGGCTTAACCGGACCCTCATTGACCTTGCCCGAGCCATACTTGCTCATGCGCAGCTGGACCATACTTGGTGGGGGGCAGCAGTGCAATATGCCAACTGGGTCAAGAACCGGATGGGCAGCAAGGGGCTAGGGGGCAAGAGCCCATACTTCATGTGGACCAGGAAGGTGCCTAGTGTGTCCATGGCACGAGTCTGGGGGTGCATGGCGCAGTACAAAGTGCCCGACCAGCAACGGAGGAAGCTGGATCCCAAGGCACAATGGGGCATTTTCCTTGGTGTGTCGGAGAGGAGCAAAGCTTGGATGTTGTGGAGTGTGGCGGATCAGCGGGTGGTGGAAAGCCGGGATGTGGTTTTCCATGAGGGGCTGAGCTACAAGGGGTGGAAGGAGCATGGTGCTAGTACAGTTGGGAGCTCCCTCCAGGATCCCTACACCTCTTCCATTTTTGAGGGGACATGGGAGGACCCTGGAGAGGAGGTAGAGGAGCAGCAGGAGGAACACAAGGCAGCTGCACCTCACCATGAAGATTCCCCAACTGCTGGTTCCACCCCTGACCCGAACAAACCAGCCCATGAACCGTCGCAGCCCCAAGAGCAGCGGCAGCAGCAGCCGCAGCAGCAGCACAGCAGCAGCAGCAGCAGCAGCAGCAGCAGCAGCAGCAGCAGTAGCAGCAGCAGCAGCAGCCACCACAGCAGCATACACCGCCTATTGCTGTGGGAAGGTGGCAGCAACTATTGCAGCAGCAGCTGTCCAAGTCACCACGGTCCCCCATGAAGAGAGTGACTTGGAAGGAGAAGCTGCAAAGTTTGGAGCAGGGGGAGGCATCACCTCTGCGCCGCACCACACGCATCTCCCGGCCACCTGACAGGTTCACACCAAGCGCACAGTATGCTTGCATGCATGATCATGAGGTGCATGATTTGGAGGAGTGCATGCTTGTGGATGCTGAGGGGGGTGAGCTTGGGCTTGATTTTTGTCTCATGGGTCAGGTGCATGAGCCTAAGTCGATCAAGGAGGCCTTGTCCCGTCCTGAGTGGGTCGAGTCCATGCGTGAGGAGCTTGAGTCTCATAGGGTGAACGAGTCCTTTGAGCTGGTTGATCCAGCTTGTGTGCCACCTGGAATGGAGGTCTTGAGGTGTCAGTGGGTGTGGAAGTATAAGCACCTGGCTGATGGGAGTATTGAGCGGCCTAAGTCCAGGTTGGTGGCCATGGGGAACACTCAAACACGAGGTGTTCACTATGACGAGGTATATACCCCGTTGGGTAAGCCTACTACCCTGAGAGGATCCCTTGGGATGGCAGCATCCTCGGGGTCTCACGTCCATCACATGGATGTGACCACTGCCTATCTTCATGGGGTCTTGAAGGAGGAGCTTTACATGAGGCAGCCCCCTGGCTTTGATGATGGGTCAGGCAGAGTATGCCGACTCATAAAATCAATCTACGGGCTGAAGCAATCTCCAAGGCAGTGGTACCTCAAGTTTGATGAGGCGCTGATGGATTTTGGCTTTGAGAGGTCGGAGTGTGACCTCGCCTTGTACCACTTGGTGAGGCATGATGGCAGGTTGTCCCTCTACCTCTATGTGGATGACATTCTGCTCATCTCTTCGAGCATGGGTTTGCTGGACGAGGTGAAGGGCCTCTTGTCCTCTCGTTTCCGCATGAAGGACTTGGGGGAGGCTAAGTACTATTTGGGGGTGCAGATTGAGCGTGATGAGAGTGGCATCTTGATTCATCAGGAGAGGTACATTCTCAACATGCTTGAGTCCTTTGGGCTTTCTGAGGCTAACCCCGTGCGTACCCCTCTCCCTACAGGGTTCGACGTGCATGCACACGCTGAGGAGCCCTTGCTGAGAGATGAGCTGGTTCGGCTCTATCAAAGCATTGTGGGGTCTCTCATGTATGCAAGCACGACCACACAGCCCCAGATTGCTTATGCAGTGTCACAGCTGTCCAAGGTAGTGTCTTGTCCCAAGGCATTTCATCTGCAGGCTGCTAAGAGAGTGCTAAGGTACCTGAAAGGTTGTGTCAAGTCAGGTATCTTCTACCCCGCACACAGCAAGCCTCAGGTCGAGTTGGTGGGCTTTAGTGATGCTGATTATGCTGGAGATTCAGCTGATCGCAAGAGTCACACCGGCTATGTCTATTGCCTCAATGGTGCAGCCATCTCTTGGCAGAGCAAGAGGCAGCCGGTGGTTGCATTGTCCACCACTGAGAGTGAGTACATCAGTCTGTGTCAGTGCATTCAGGAGGGTGTGTGGCTGAAGCGTTTGTTTGGGGAGTTTGGGCATGAGTTTGCTGGTGGTGTGCCTGTGTTTGTGGACAACCAGTCTGCCATTGCCCTTGCACAGAATGCATGCTTGCATGGCCGCACCAAGCACATGCAGGTTCGGTGGCATTTCATCAGGGAGATGGTGGCTAGTGGCGAGGTGATCCTCCGGTGGTGCCCAACCGACCGTCAGGCAGCAGACATACTCACCAAACCCCTTCCTTTTGAGCGGCATGGTGTGTGCATGTCCTTGATGGGGATGCAGCCCCATGTTGGCATGGTGCCTGAGCAGGATGTGGGAGGATTGGTGCTTCTCTGCCTTGACGACCTCATGCTGTGGATGGCGCCCCTCCCTGGGCAAGGGGGAGTGGAGTGAAGGATTTTGCCCAGTGGTGTTCAGCCACCTCCAGCACGAGCAAGGGGGAGTGTTGATTGTGTAGGTGGTTGTGGTATTTTTCTCTAGCTGGTTGTGGGCTAAGGGTTTGGGCAAAATGTGGTGGTTGAACTTGTTGCGGGCTGGATTTGAACTCGCACCTAACAAGCACCAACAAACCTTTGTTACCAACTACAACACCTTTGGTGTTGCTAGTTTGGCACTTTAAGGTGTTGGGGATTGTTGTAGGGCGAGGGTTGGGTTGGTAGGGTTTCACCAACTCGTCACTTTTCAGATCTGAACTCTTGCTAAAGCTACTTTCTAGATCTAATCCATGGCTGCCAAGTAATTCCGCCAGGATACCCCGTCGCACATAAATCGCGATAGCGATCGGCCTAGATCTTGGTTGAAGGCGTGCTTTACCATTCTGGAAAGTAGAGATTAAGACCTTTCTAACGCGTACCTGCTCATCGTTCTAGGTTACGTGAGCTGCACGCAATGTTTCGCCGAAGTCGGCGGACATAATCTCTTGTTACGCTCTCCAGATTGGCACGCTTTCCATCATCAAGCGCCGGGCCTCGCAGAAGCGATACCGCGTAATTAATACGCGTGGCGTCGTCGTTGACGTTTGCTGCAGTGAAGAACACCTCCACGCCGAACAACCACCCCTTAACAGTAGTGTTCTTGTCGGTAGGGTTGAACGGGGGCGGGCTCGTAGGCTTTATCTTGATTGTTGTCAGCGCAACTGTTGTCGCTGCCGCCGCTCGCTGCCTATCTTCTTCTTCGAAGCCGCGTGTGAGCTCCTCCAACGGATTGCCGCTCACCGCTTGACCAGTGCTCTCGCCTTCTTCAGCGGGCGACTCCTGGCGCGCTTCACCTCGCGCCTGGCGTAGCTCGTTGTTTTCTTCACGTAGTCTCTCCACCTCTGTCGTTAACGCCTTCATGCCTGCCGACATCTCCGCCACTTGCTGCATCAACGGGTCAAACGCCGCCTGATCCATGAGTCGCAAGCTACGTCTAGTAGGCAAGTGGGTATCCGTGACTATCCGGCAACAGTGCAAGCGCAAAAGCTATCGGGGTCGGGCAAGTTTAATTTAATAAACTTTGCAACCAACCGCTTTGCAGCCCACCGTACCAATCACACCCGTGCCTCTAAACTACCCTGGAAAAGCGGGGTGAACTAGGAAAGTAGCTCTGATACCAGGTGTTATGAGTTGTCAAACAGAGTTGCGCGGAATAATGAATAACGAGGCTGTGACTCAATGAAATTGACGATACAATGAAAGACATGCGATTATATAGCGAGGCAACCTAACTAGGCGGGAACCTCGGGAACACGAGGTTGAGTGCAGGTTGGGCAAAGGAAAGCCGAAGGCGACGCGAGGTTGCTTCGGCAGCAAGCAAAGCGGCCGAACGTGCACTTCCGAAAGTTGGGGTTGTACGCGGTTGAGTAAACCCCAGTAAGGAAAAGGGTTTTTCCTTACACAAACACTGTGCAGACTGCACGCCCAAAATATCAGGGTAAAACACCCTGATTACCCTGGGGGCCGGCCGTTTTTTCAGGATTACCTTGCCGAAATCAGGATTGCACGTTAGTTACCCTTCTCTAAAAAGAGCATGTTTTTTTTTTTTTTTTTTTTTTGGGTTGCGAAGCAACCCTTTACGATCGATTTTGCCAAATTTTATTTTCATATTTATATTTTTTTTTATAAAATCATGAAAATAAAATTTGTCAACTACAATAATACCCTTCCCATACTGTATGCATGTTGAGCAGTTTTGAATACGGTACTGTTCATAGTGCATTAAACCAAATGATATTTTTGCAATTGTTTAGTGTAGATTTGCTGTACTGTTTGCATTATATGTTACTGTTAGATGATGTCGTGTAATGATAAAGAGATGCATGCGTAATGCATAAATGATGATATGCAATGCATAATGCATGGAATGATGCTATATAATGCATGTGATATGTCATGAATGATACACATGCACATGATAAAATGCGTGACAGTTAACAACCCAAAAACTAAGCTACCGCCATCCCCTGCCTAGCATGGGGGGGAGGTCAATAGCTTAGCTTTTGAATAATCAACTACCACATGAAACAACACAATCTGTGAAGTCTAAAAACGAGATCAACCTACCAAATCCAGTTCAAGTGAGCGTACCCGTTCGAGTGTAACTCAATGAACCTTTGGGAAATGATAGAATTGATTCTCATTTCTAAAAACCACAGACATGCATTGTTAATGAAATAACAGATGGATAATGATATGGTAGATGAATGCCACACATACGGACACATACGCACGCAATGAGACGAACAGACGCACGCACAGAAGCTCGAAACAAGTCAATGCAAAAAGAGCTTACGAAGAAAAAAAAAAACACAGAAGATGCAAAAGATCACTACCAAGCAATACAACACAATTAGACCTAATCGCCACAAATGTGATCGTTCCTCCTTTAAAAAAGACCTTCAATTCCCGAATGGTACAGCAAAGCCTCTGAAAAGTAGGAAATAGGGAAACGAAAGGGGGGAAATGGGGAATAGAAGTTGAGGGGAGATGGGATAGAGAGGAGAGAGAGAGAGAGAGAGAGAGAGAGAGAGAGAGAGAGAGAGAGAGAGAGAGAGAGAGAGAGAGAGAGAGAGAGAGAGAGAGAGAGAGAGAGAGAGGGAGAGAGAGAGAGAGAGAGAGAGAGAGAGGGAGAGAGAGAGAGAGAGAGAGAGGAGAGAGAGAGAGAGAGAGAGAGAGGGAGAGAGAGAGAGCGAGAGAGCGAGAGAGAGAGAGAGAGAGAGAGAGAGAGAGAGAGAGAGAGAGAGAGAGAGAGAGAGAGAGAGAGAGAGAGAGAGAGAGAGAGAGAGAGTTCATAACTACGGTTAAAAAAAACTTCATGTATTATTCAAAAAATGACGGTTACGAGAATATGGCGGTTAGGAGAATATGATGGTTCTAAACCGAAGAAGAGCAAAAAGTGGAAGAAAATGTGCAAATACGAAAAGGAATGATGCACTAAACGAACGGAAGTCATGATGAAGAATAGAAGAACCAGATGCAGGATTATCTACAAAGAATAGCTAAAGTATTTACAAAGCGCCAAAGAAATTGAGACAAAAACGAAAAACAGAAACGAAATGGATGAAGGAATTATGCGGCAAATCTAAAAGATGTGAAAGTGAGAAGAAAAACTGGCATTGCATGCTGTAAAGGAAGAACGACCTGGACGATCGTCGAAATGGATTAAATCCGGCAGAAAAACAGCTCGTTTCTAAGTCTAAACGGCTGAAACAGAATGAAAACGGTTTAGACAGACGAATCTACTATCATCTTAAGTCTAAAACTAGTCCTTAAGGCTCACCTAGGTAGTAGTAGCTGAGTATAGGAGTCGGGGGCGTCAATGGAGTAGCCTGGAGAAGTTGAAGCAGAACGACACGAAGCAGAAAAGGATTTACGGAACCCTAGGCAGGTGTGTCTTTCGTCAAACAATAAACGGTTGTAATAATTTTGGATGACACAGTCGTTGAAATTAGCGCAGTGGTTTGAAGTTTCTCTTGAATCCTAAAGGTCTTAGGTTCGGTACCCAACGCGATGAATTTTGCAAATCTCAGTCTTGAGTTACAGACTCAGTATAAGTAGTTAGGTAATCATTCAAAACGAGATCCATAGTTAGTAATAGAAGTTGTAAAACATATGTTAATAATGCAAAAAGCTTCACAACCCTAGGACGACATTGTCGCCTCTTGTTTTTTGTTTTTTTTTTGTTTTTTTTTTTTTTTTTACACTGATAGGATTTAAGGTCAGCCTGATGGAATCAGGGTAGGGTGTACACTACCCTTTTACAAAATATTATAACGCGAATCAGACCATAGTCTGCGAGGTGACAAAACGTTCCATACCCCCACTAACAAGAGTTGTCGCTTGTGACCACGCGCATTAAACTTGCTTCGTTGTTGGCAACACGTCATGTTGCCTCATTGGTTGTTTCTCCTGCAGCACTGCCAACGCATTTCTTGAATCTAGCCACACGTCGCCACGCCCACCGCCATCACAGCAGAGTTGGCTGTCAAGGACAGCTTCAAGCTGTCCTTTTCAACAAATGGCAGGCCCAGTCCTGCTCTGCTGGCCATGCACTTCCCGCCCCGTGGAAGAAACGGCCCTTTCGAGGCTGCCAGAGGATCGTCCTCTACGAGGGGGTCTCTCGCTTGGCCCTCAGTCTCAACCATTTTCAACTTTCAACTCCACAATAATGCCTACTGGAGAGCCCGATCCACCCGATAGCGCGAGAAATGGCCTCTCCGTGCTGGGCGTTTTACCACGCCTTAGTGAGAACTACGCCGTGCCCATTGCACAGCTGCCGCCTCGTGAGCCGTCACCAGAATGTCTCGTAGGAACGGTTTATCCGTTCGAGCCGCCAGACTCACCCACGGCGTGGGAGCCACATCCTGACATAGAATTAATTCCCGGAGGTAGCGAAGGCTCGTCAAAGCCGCCTACTGCTTCGCCTTCGACGGTCAGCACCGCGCCCGTCAAGCGACCGCGTGTGGGAGCGACGTACAAGCAGCAGACGCTTTGGGGCGTCCCTCCTCCCCGAAACGATACTTCACACAAGCGCCCTGCTCCTTCGGCCGATCCAAAGCCACCCACCGCTCTGGCGGATGCTGAGTACGAGTTGGTGAAGAAGACATTTGAGGCTCAGTGGGCAAGTAGTTTCAAATGGTTGCGTTTGCTACGCATGTCTAACAGCCGTCCGTCTTTGAAGTGTGCCATTTGTGTGAAGCACGGAGATCCACTAGCGCACCCTGCGTATGGGTCGAAGGGTGAGGGTGCTCGGGATCTCCAGATTGGCAGCATCCGCACTCACTCCTCGTCCCGTGCACACAAGCAGTCGTTGGAGAATCAAGAGAAGGCAGAGGCGGAGAAGGTGAAGCAGGCCACACTCACTCGGTGGCAGACCACGGATGCTTCTACCCGTCACATCATTCAGCTCCTCCACATCGCGCTCTTCGTCTGCAAGGCGGACGCACCCATAGCGATGTTCGTCCCGCTGTGTTGGTTTCTGGCGAAGGAGGGGTTACCAGACCTTCCTCCCGCTGGTGGCTACGGAGCGTACTACACAAAGTAAGTAGTGGCATGCGTTCTTGAAACTAGTTTATTCTTTATTATGCTCTATGGATCTTGACAACCTCCGTTTTCCCCTGGCAGTTACAGATTCAAAGAAAACCTCCGCGCACTCTCAACATACCTCCAAGAGACACAACGTCAGCACCTGCTGGAATCCCCGTGGATCGGGATTTCCCTCAACGAGAGCACGGACCGGGTGCATGGAAAGCACCTCATTTTATACGCCACGTTCTTCCAGCGCACCACGGTGGTTACTAAGTTTTTGCAACTCATTACTGTTGACTGTGCTGACGGCGCCTCACTCGCATCCGCTGTCGTGCAGTATCTCACAAGTATCGGGGTCGACCTCCAAAAGATATCCAGTGTCGCCTCTAACGGTGCCAGCGCGATGGTCGGCAAGAACAGAGGAGTCGTGACACGGCTGCGAATGCGCATTCCGCATCTGGCCTCAACACATTGCATCGCTCATCAGTACGCATTTCTGTTGTCTGCTTCGTGCTGTCGTTTTTACAAGAAATGATGTTGACTAACTTTTTGTCGATGTGCCCTTATGTACAGGGAGGCACTCGCTGCTAATGATGCTGCTGACGAAGTATCTGAGCCGCAAATGATTGACGGTGTCGTGCGCGCCTTTGCTGACCACATTGGCCGCAGCAGTGTGGACTACCAGAAGTTTCAAGAGTTGCAGCGGATCTTCTGCCAGACGAATCTGGAGGCGCAGGGGATTTCCGATACCCGATGGCTCGCCCGTGGTGAAGCGATTCAGCGCCTGCTCGATGTGCTCCCTGCGGCCATAGTGGTGCTGAAGGATTACAAGGCAGAACTGTACGAGGTGGTCACCTCGTTCAAGTTCCACTCGCTCATCCGCTTTCTTGCGAATGTGGGAACTTAACTGCCTCAACCTGCGCTTCCAGCAGCGCCAGGTAAGGGCCTTTGGTGCCGTCGTTTATGTTATCGCAAGTAAGAGCGTGCACAACCTGACTCCTCGTCATGCCCTTGTGCATGTGGACTTTACCCTTGTTGCGCACATCGTTAGCAGACAAGGATGTGTCTGAAGACGCGGTATTCCCTCCGCGACCCTGCCCACCCTTTCGGCAGCGGGGAGAAAATGCAGCTTCCCGAGTTCATTCAGAGGCACCAGGTAATGGATAAGCGCCAGATGAAAGCGGAGGGCGTAGACGGGGACGGGAATCTTGTCACGTTTGAATTCGCGCTGCACGAGCGCCCGCTGCCAGGACATGAAACGGACGGCGATGTCACGTCGTGCATCGAGCTGTCGATCAAGTATGTGCGCATTGACGCCGAGCTGGAGTGGTGGACGCGCGATCTGCAGCTGCTGGAAGGTACGAAGCTGTTTCGCACAGCTTCGTACTTGTCCGACGACACGAAGCGCGTGAAAACTTTCAAGAAGTGGCTGGCCCAGCTGCACAAGTTGTACCACCACAAGCTGCCAGGTAAGCTGTGAGAGTACGACGGCTTATGCTTGATATTTATGCTTGCTTTTATTCCCTTACGCTACTTCTAGCTTAGTTTAATTTTATGCATGCATGAATTGCTTGATTTCCTAGGTTCGTTGCTTTACTATAGTTATTATAGTTATAGCACCGAACCAGGTTACGTGTACCGAACTCAAGCTATTCGGTTGCCACCGAATTGCTAACTACCGAGTTCGGGAAGGTTCTGTTCGGGACGCTTCGCGACCCTCAGAACATTCGCGTAACACCTGGGTTACCTGCCTTGTGTCGAGCCTATATATAGCCTCGTGTTGTACCCAGGTGATCATTCAATTCGAATTCTCTTTTCTGAGCTCGATCCTAAGATCCTCACACTTGGTAATCAGAGCCCGTTTACACGCGAAGTTTTTTCGACCGCTAAAACCCAGTCTTCAAAAACCGCGGGGGCGACGCAGTTAAACATCGATTTCGGGTACGTAAAACCGGTTCCGTGTTTTTCGCTCCCCCTCGATTCGTTTTTTCAGACGCGTTAATGTCAGGCATGGAGGGCCAAGGCGACAACTACGCGACCACGAGCGACATCGCGAGCCTCCGCACCGACATGGAGCAGACGCAGGCGACGCTTCGTTGACTCGAAGCCCTTCTGACAAGCCAACCAGGACTCGCCACCGCAGCAGCAGCTAACGTAGCAGCGACGGCACCAGCAGCAGTGGCGACACCGACATTTCACGGACCGATGGCACCACTGTCGCCGAACCTCGAAGCAGCACGACCGAGGCTCCCTGAGGCGTTCGATCCAAGCGCGAAGGGATCCGACGTCCGGCGATTCGTGGCCACCCTCGAAATTTACTTCGAGGCCATTGGCTGTTCGACCCCGACATATGACGCAGCAAGAATCCGGCTCGCAGCGACACTGTTACGTGGACCGGCACTCGAGTGGATCTACAACACTGACGTGGCCCGCGGGGAGAAATCGTGGGCGCAGTTTCGGGCAGATTTAATCGAGCGTTTCGAACCCATCAATACGACCTACATGGAGGCAGTAGATACACCGACACAAGCAATACAGTAGTGTAGCATAGTACACGCAGCAGGTGGAGTTACTGTTCAACCGCATCCCCGACCTGACCGAAGGCGAAAAAATCCAGGCGTACACAGAAGGGTTAAAATTAGAGATTCGGCGGCAGGTGATTGCGGCGAATTACAACAGCTACAGAGACATCGTACGTGCTGCCGAACGATACGATGCGCTGACTCGAGGTCAACCCGAAACACGACGTTTCGCGCCGAACCGTACATTCGGCACGGAGCGATCGGCACCCCCCACGTTCGCCGAACCAAAGAAAACGACAAATACGACGCGAAGCAGCAG